TGAGCAGAACGCCCCGCATCAGGGGAACATTCAGTCTCTGTGAGAGACAGTGAAGGAGGGGCTCCTGGGAGTGAGCAGGAGACGCAGACAGGAGAGTGTGCTGAGAAGACCCTGAGACTCCTCTATGCATCACTCAATTCTCCTTCCTCCCTCCCAGCCTCCTACTTCCTCCCCCTCCCCATGACATCTTTGCTACCGATGTCTGCGGTGAAGTGAACTTAAAGGGCTGCCTAAGGAGCTGTTCACTTCAACTTGAATTTATAGTGTCATTTGCTTTGTTTTATCACTTAGGGCTCTTAAATCCTTAGAAGTACTCAGAAATACATGGTTCTTATTTTGTATTCTTCTCTCAAGAAACTTATTTGGAGTAGGAATTGAAATTAGTACAGCCCTTATAGAAAATAGTATGGAAGTTCCTAAAAAAAATTAAATCCAGAGCAGGTAAGAGATGGAAAAATTACCTGTGGGGTACAATGTACACTATTCAGGTGATGGGTACACTGAAAGCCCAGACTTCACCGCTGTACAATATGTACATGTAATGGAACTCAACTTGTACCCCTATATCTATTAAAATAAAAAAGGGAAAAAATTAATAGTAAAATACAACATGATCCAGCAATCCCACTATTAGGTATACATACAAAGGAAATGAAATCAGTATGTCAAAGAGCTATCTCCTGCCCGAGTTCTAATCGGGGCCAACCCTGCTTAACTTCTGAGATCAGCTGAGATCAGGTGTTTTCTGGGTGATCCGGCCCTAGATGAGATATCTGTACTCCAATGCTTATTGCAACACTATTCACAGTAGCCAAGATATTGAATAAGCCTAAAGGTCCATTGACAGATGAATGGATAAGGAAAATGTGGTGTACACGCACATGCACGCACACACACACACACACACACACACACACACACACACACACACACAGGAATGGTATTCAGGCATAAAAAAGGAAATCCTGTCATTTACAACACCATGGATGAACTTGGAGGACATTATGTTAAGTGAAATAAGCCAGGCACAGAAAAACAAATACTGCATGATCTCACTCATGTATGGAATCTAAAAAAAGTCAAATTTGTAGATGAGTAGAATGGTGATTACCAGGGGCCAGGGTGGTGGTAGTAGAGGGAGTTGGGGAGATGTTGGTCAAAGATGACAAAATTTCAGTTAGATAGGAGGAATAAGTTTGAGAGATCTATTATACAATGTGGTGACCACAATTAATAACAATTTATTGTATTCTTGAAAAATGTTAAGAGAGTAGGTATTAAGTATCTTCACCCCAAAATGACAACTATCTAGGGTAATATATGTGGTGATTAGCTTGATTTATCTATTCCACAATGTACATATATTCCAAAACATCATACTGTACATAATAAATATATACAATTTTATCTGTCAAGTTAAAAAAATAAAATTAAAAAATAACTTGATTTGGAAAAGTTCAAATATAATCA